TGTCTGCCCATGTGCCATCCGTATTGCCCTCCCCGCTCCGGATCCCCCCCCCCCCCCCCCCCCCCCCGGGCGGGGGGGGGGGGGCCCCCCCCCCCGGGGGGGGGGGGGGGGGGCCCGGGGGGGGGGGCGGGGGCCGGGGGCTGCCCCCCGGGGGTCTCCCGGGGGGGGGGGGGGGGGGGCCACCTCCCATCGCTGGGGCCTCGACCGGGGACCATGGCCGCGGGGTGGAAATATTGCCAGCTCGGCCAGGCTCGGGCGGGGACCGGGGCCGCGGAGCGTGCGGGCTCTCTCTCTCGCCCGGGTGGTTCCGCCCCCCCCCCCCCCCCCCCCAGCCGGCAACTGATGTGCCTTGGTACCTGCCCGGGGCCTCGATGGGCGGGGGGCTCCACGGCTGCCACTCCGGGGACACCGCTGGCCACCAATTTAAATCTACCCTGCCCCACCCGCCCCCTTGCTCGGAGGGGGGGGCTGCCTCCCCGAGCTGGTGGCTGTCTCGCGGGGGCACTCGGCAGACCCGTGTGTCGGCGTGCCTCGCACATATATTTTCGCTTCTTCCTGCCTCCTGTTCCCCCCCCCCCCCCCCGGGGTGAGGGGGCGAGGGGGCGGGTTCTCGCTTTTTCTCGGCTCCGGAGGGTGGGGACGGACATGCAGGTGTGAGTGCGAGTGTGTGTGCGCGCGCGCGGATGCGTGCATGTGCGGTGGGAGGGTTGGACGATCGTGGTAAGAAGGGATAGCCCTGGCTCTCTCAGTCGCCAAGCCGCCCGGGCCTCGCCCCACTTTCTCCTTCCCTACACACGCCTCCCCCCCCCCGGGGGGGGGAGATTCCTCAGTCCCCTTCGTCGGCTACGCAGGTACAAACATGACGCTGACGCTCTTGGTGTAACTCAGGGGAAGGCGGGGGCGCGCGTCTGCGGCCGTGTTGCGTCGGGAGATTCGCTTTTTCCTTGCTACTCTGCCCGAGGACCATGTCGGCCAGGGCCCCTCCCCCTGGGTGAGCACCGAAGCGACAGCGGCACTCCTGCGCGTTCGGGCGTGCGTACGCGTGCTCGGGTGCCGGGGAAACACCGCCCCCCACCTCCGCTCCACCCCCCCCCCCCCCC